CGTATTTTAATTGATAAATAGAGACAATAAATGACTGAAACCCAGGAATTAATTTTCATTTGGAATTGAAACACAGTCAGGAAAGTATGTACAATATATAAACACTGTTCATTGCAATTTAGTACAGACTGAACAATATAAATAGCCATCTATTTCTAGTCATTTTCCATTTCTTTGCCCTTTCATGATCTGCATTTTTCCGTTCCTTCCGTCCGTTCAACTTTTTTGTCAATTTCCACATTGTGAGTACGTTTTTTTCCTGTGTTCATCCGCAGTTTCTCCGTTTTTTATTCGGAATCCTATACATTTTCTGGAGAACCAACCAAGTAAGTACACATTTTGTGTTTTATCATCGATATTTTACAGCTCAAAAAATGTCTTATGTTAAGCTCCAAACTAAGCAAGTTAAGTATGCAATTAGAAATTTGGATTCCTGGGTCTAAAAAACCCACAAACACAATTTAGGTATTAAATTGGTTGACAATTCTTTAAAAATAACGGAAATTTTATTTACACTTTGACACCCTGTAGCTCGGAAACTAGTAACTTTTGGATAAAACAAAATTGCGTGGAACGCAATGTCAGTTAATTTTGTCACATTATTTGAGGACCACACTGTATATACAAGTCGTCTTAAAAACTACCGTTTAAAAATAGAGTAGTGTTATCGTGATTTATTAAATGTATGAGATTTTGTATTTCTATTTTTAACTGTTAGATTAATTTTCCAGAATCTAGAGTAGTAGACGGAACTCTACTCGTAGATAGATAAAGACTCAACTCCAAGTGATACTCTAAGAAAATCGTATTCTTGGTTCAAAAATAACGACTAAAACTTTTCTCTCGTTTTCTTTGCTTGAGAATAAGGAGATCTGAGACTCGTTCCTTGTGAAGCGTTGGCTAAAAACAATATTAAATCTGGCAATGAAACTTGAGAAGAAGGATTTTGTCCTTCCAAGCTGCTTCTAAAATGCTCCGCTAATCCTAAACAAACATTAAACTAAACACTAAACTTCAGTAAATAAAAATCTCCATATAAAATTGATCGGTTAATTTTGATAGAGAAACAACATTCATCAATAAAAATAAGTTACTCTGCTAAAAGAGTTTTGGACGTGCAGGTGTAATGTACACATTACCGCGCGGATTAATAATAGGATTATAACGTAAGGTGCATTTAATTTCGAACTGTATGACGTCAGCTGGTCTCGCCTTTGCTACTGTGGATGCTGCAAATAGCAAACCGAATGCAAAAACAATATCTGAATTTTATAGTTATAGGACTGGGTGAAAAAAGTTCAAACTATTAATATTAGCAAATTTGAAAGCACTGTGCCGCAAATTTTTACAAGTTTCTCAGTCCTTAATACGATTTAAACTTTTTTTTATCAAATCATGACTTATTCTTAGACAAAATTTAAGTTATACGATAAGCCAAAAAAGTGATTTCACTTTTTTTAATTTTGTTTTGTTTATTTAAACATGTCATGTTTTCTTGGTCAAAGTTTAAATCCGCGCACAATATTGGGTAGCTGAGACAGAAAAAAGTATACGGTGTATAATTTGAATTTTTAATCATCTGTTTATCTTGATTGATCGAGAAATTTATTTTTTTTTAATGATAGTTTGAATTTAGAAGAAAGCTATTCAAACAAAATTTTATTGCCATCTTAGAACTGTAAACCACTGTTTATTCGGTTACATATGTAACTCCATAAAGAAATAAAAAAGTTTAAATAAATTTTGCGCGAAAATGTGATCTGTCATAAAAAAATGAATATCTCTCGAATGGAGCTGGATGAACAGACAAGTAAATATCCAAATTACTCAGAAGAGATGAGGCTATAACATACTTCTTTTGTGTCACCTTATATAGGCTACAGAAAGGTTTAAACTTTGACCAAGACAACTTTGCAGTGTACACAACAATACCCGGTATATTATGTCTATTCTATTAGATTCTATTCTATTCTATCTAAGTAATAAATGTTTGAACAATTTTTAATATTTCATAAGTATTTTTTGTACTTATTTGTTAAAAGAATAAACAGAGAACTTAATTTTTAATTTTAATACAATAAATAATAATATTAGCTCTCATCAGCTGGGTTTAGCCTGAAATTAGCTAATAAGCTCGGAACCGGTCCTGGGGGTGCCTGCGGTAGGTGAGCCTCGAAGCTTGCACTATCTTTAATTTATTCTGATTTATTTTCCTGACTGCGTGTACTTATTATGATATTCTTATCGTTCCTGAGTCTCAGTCAAAGTGTGAAGTAAACATTTTGAAACTTCGTTTATTTCATTACGTTTTGGCGACACAAGCAGCGCCATAACATGTATAAAAATTATAATTTACAAAGTGTTAAAACATTCATCAGTTTTTGAGGGAAAAAATTCTTCCTTTTGGGAGAGCAAAAACACCGGAAAAACTTACCTCATGATTGGTAAAAATCAACGTCCTTTTAGGTCTTCTTCTTCTTCTTTTAGGCCTCAAAAACTGATGAATGTTTTAACACTTTTTAAATTATAATTTTTAACCAACATGTTTTAATTGTGAATTGGTTTTTATAGTTTGTGTAAATTTTAAAATCTGTTGATGGCGCTGTTGTCTCGCTGAAACGTAATGAAATAAATGATGTTTCAAAATTTTTACTTCACACTTTGACTGAGACCCAGGAAAGATGGGAATATCATAACTATCTTTAATACAATGTTTAAGTCGCAGCAATATAAAACATAACGGTTATACAAGTAACAAGCTTGAATGTTTTAGATATTAGCCAATTTTACTGTTCAATCAGTTCAATCTGTAGGCGTTGTCTTTGACAAAATCATTCTATCTAAATTACATCCATTTCAATGCCGCCCTCATAGTTTATAATAAAGACGAAATTTAAGCTGAAGAATTTGAAACAGTTTGGAATAAAATTTCTCAGCAATTAGTCAATCGGGCTTCTTCTACCATATAAAAAATTTTTATTAAATTGAAATCAACCAACTTATCTTCTTAAAATATTCCCTAAACTGCACTTCAACATATTCTGAACGAAACATCTTATAACAACGTATTTCCAAGAAGAGGCGTCATAAAAGTTAACTCATTTCTTATGTTGAGGGTAAATCGCTTTATCCTAATAGAGCATCATCTACAATACATTTGGCCTTTTAAGCCATAATATACAATGCATTGAAGATTGATGATTCTTATAATAAAACGGAATTCAAAAAACCATATAAATAAAAAGGCGTGTTCTTCATAAATCTATCATTTAATACGTATATAAATATAATTTGTACATTGAAAGTACAAAATCAGCTCCGGAACAGCAGTATTAAGGCGGGTGACGAAGAAAATGCCCACAAAACCGCACCACATATGTTTAGCCAAAAATACATAGATTGATAGATAATACATACATACAAAAATATATAGATAGCGTATAAATAATAGCAGAAACGACATATAGATACTAAGAACTAAGAAATATTGAGCTTGGAAAACTTTTTCTGATACCGATTATTTTTTTATTATTATTAAGAATCATATCTAAAGTTTTCATGAATCACAGGTTTTTCATGGTTGAAACTTAATAAACATTTGTGTTTATTGGGGGGGGGGGKGTATTTTAATATCACCCCGTAGTATAGAAAATCAGTCCAGTTTCAAATGAAGTATCCTTTTGACCTTAAAGGTGAAATTTCGAAAATAATACAAACAAATATCGTCTATGACTAAACATAGCTTTGTATTTTTTATAGCTCCAGTGCTACTTAGGCAACAAGCTCGGATAGATCGGACGAAAATAGAGCTACAGACTGGTAACTCAAGGCTGGTGATCATGAGACAACAGGTGGAAGACTTAGAGAAAAAGATGCAGCAGGTATTTAACTAGACAACTCTCAAAAAGCAGCAGTTTTTTTGTTTAATGGATTTTTGCTTGTGTAGGCTGCACAGTTACGAGCAACTGCCGAAATAGAGAAGCAGCTGCAAAAAGAAATCAACCATTTAACTTTCCAGTGCAAGCGGCTGGCCGTTATGCTGGATAAGGCTACTTCACAAGGTAGTTTAATTTATTATTTAACGGTATCTGATTTAAATATAATATTTAGTGCTACAATAATATTGCTTTACATCCTTTCAGCTTTTGGAATAATTGAAAAATGTATACTGATTTCAAAGGTAATTTGAAATTTTCGCTGTTTTCTCCGCTCGACGATCGACCTCGAAATTGCATATTTCAAAAGCACGCTTCACTTACGGCTTTTCACACTTGTGTCGATCTATTCTGTAATTATTTTATCCTTTCGCCACATAAAATAAGGTTCCGCAATCAGTAGCAGCTTTTTCCTTAAATATGAACGTTATGAAAAGATTTATTGCATGTTTGAGTAGCTTTAGTTCTTCCATCGTCTCCTCTTTTTATTATAAAAACTGCATTCTTTTTACTTAATAACCAGGAGAAAAAAACATGGACAAAAATAGGTTTTGTAATTTCTTTAAGTCATTTACTACTGATTTTTCTGTACTAAAACTGACTACTTGACCTTAAACAGACATCAATGAAAATGCATGAAGTTTAAAATCATGCCAAAATGGGATTTTTACATGCGAATTTTCAAAATTTTAGAAAGTTTTAATTTAAATAATAAAATTAAAATTGAGTCGGATGACGTTATAAGAAAACCGATCCGTGAGTAAAACTCAGAAATATTAATATCAAACCAAGAAACAATTTGAAGTTTCTTATGGTGAGAGTAAAAATAAAAGTACTGTATTTAACTTTCTCTTAGATTCAAATAAAATAATTAAATAATAACAATAATCTTTATTTCTCGTGAATAGGGCCAAAAATTGGGCAAATTACAAATTTGTCATAAATAAAGAAGTTGGGGAGAAATTTAAAGCATCTAAAAATCGCGACTTAAAAAGCAAAGTGTTTTAGAAAAAGATTTATTTCATAAAAAAATTCCTTTCCTCCGAGAATTATACCGAGATTTATACAATTGCGACAAGTAAGATGTATCATGTTACATGTTTGAAGAAATATAGTTGGGGATAAATTTCAAGAATCGAAAAGTCGCGCCTTAAATAATGATCAAATGACTTTCTAGAAAAATTTCTAGCATAAAAAATTGTTACACCCAGCAAGTTTCGTTTATTAATTTTTGAAGTGATAACTTTTTATGGGAGGGTGAACCGATGTTTCTCGGTCACGGCGACCCCCCACTCCGGCCTCTTCGCGCCTGAGGCATGGGACGCAAATATGCACTTTGAATTCGACATTTTTCTCTTAGTGCGGGTGCATCTGTAGATCTGATAAACGTTTCAAATACACATTGCGTTATTAAACTGACAGTGATTTTGATTTATCAATTATTGAGTGTGCTATTATTATGTTCGATGCAGTTTATTTTATAACGGTGAACAATGAATCAACAAATTATCAAGGGAGAAGCTGCAGATACTGTAAATACTAGGTTAAGAGTGCTCATGTACTAAATGCCTGTTCGAGTTTCGCCTTCTTTTAAATTTTCATATAAAGCACACACACAATTATACACACTAAAAAAAGTGCAAAAAAATGCGGATCGTCCATCAATTTGCAGAAAAATGTATTACAAACTTTTGAAAATCATCTTCAAACGACCGGGTATTTATCATTGCA